TACCGCGCCACCTGAATGCTCCTGCCTGCCCCTGCTCCAGCTCTCGTGGCTCCAACCGAGTAGGCCTCAAAGTAGGAAAGTGGTCGTAAATCCAACACTGTAGTAAAGTCAGACAACCCGACACTCCCTTAGCCTCCGCCCGGGAGGCAATACCAAGCTGCCTGTACAGATAAGCAAGTGCTCCAACCCCCCACGCATACTCTCCTAGCATATCCGGCCTCTTCACAAACAAGTTCACAACAGCAGAAACGCGGTCCTTACTCTTATCTACGAACAGTGTGGACCCAAGCAGCAAAAGAAGGTAGCACTGAGCCTCTCTAGCTGGCGGACCAGACTGCTGCAAATGAGTCAAAGCTCCCACACCCGACAAACCAAATCCTCTGTACCACCTAGACAGACTAGCAACCTCGCCAACCTGCGCCCCGTACTCATCCTCGTCACGATCTAATCCCAGTAGTGCTCGGATGTCAGCCTCCAGTGCAAACTTCTCCAACTGCCTCGGATCCACTACCATCGCCTCTCCGTCAACCGCAATCCCAAGAATGTGTGCCACGTCGTGAAGGAGGATCGTCATCTCTCCAAACGGCATGTGGAAGGTGTTAGTATCCGGCTGCCACCTCTCCACAAATGCCGAGATGAGAGCAGGGTCCAACTCGCTCTGGAAGGTGATATCAACGAGGTGAGCAAGGCCCAATGTCTCTACGGTAGTCCTAGCGTTATCATCTGCTATCTGATAACCGCCGAGAACGTGACAAAGGGTCGCACTCCTGTCGTAGCAAGTGATCACCCCTCTATCAGCCTCTCCCGTGTACAGACGGTGGGCAACATGCCCAAGAAAGCTACAGAGCAAACTCGGGTCGCTCGGCCCTCCAGGACACGGTCCTCTAGGCTCCCAGGCCTCTCCTACATCAGCAGTAGAACTCTGGCCCTCACCAGGCTGTGGAGCTCTATAGAAACGCCCCGCATGGTCTCTATAGATCCCAGTAACAGCATGAACCCCAGTAACGACAGGTGACGCAACGCTGGGGGCACCTCTGTCTCTGATCGGACTGACTCGTGGAATACGTGTCTCAACAGCATCCGACTCATACTCCTCCGACTCGTCGTCAATCTCGTCTGAAGGCTCAAACGGTGAAGTATGATGATCAATACTGGGACCAGCTCCACTACCACCCATACTAGGCATCCGAAAATCAAACTCAGGGAAACCGTCTGCCCTATATCTCATCGGTGTCACCTGTGGCTGTGGCTGTGGCTGAGGCTGTGGCTGTGACTGAGGCTGTGGCTGAGCTCTATCATTTCCGTCCTTATTTCTCACACTAGCGCTAATGTTACGCCCAATGAATCTTTTCAATCTCTTTCCTGGTCCTCCAGAACTACGTGATCCTCCAGAATTACCAGATGACGCCATCTCTAAATATAGACAATAATTTTCTATTAATATCTTATTGGAAATTATTTGTTGAGCAATTACTTGTTGTTTTATAGAGTAATTATGATACATGCAATTTATTTCGTTTGATTTTACTTAATTTAACTAGATAGTTATTTTACTTAATACGATAGGTAGTTATTTAAATATTTATTTCAACTTACTCAATTACTTAACTAAAACATCATAGATAATTATTTAAAATTAACAATTTATTTAATCCAATAATTCTTTACATATTTATTATAATAAATGATCTATTAGCATAGTCCATAATTATCTATTAATCTCTTATAATAAATTATTTGATTAGCAATTTGTTCATATTCATAATTTATCAATTATTAATTATGATATATACAACTTGATTATCTAATTAATTTAACTAGATAGTTACTTTACAATATATAGTTATTTAAATAATTATTTCAACTTACCCAATTAATAAACTAACACATTATATAATTATCAATTATATACTAATTATTCAACTATCAATACTAAAATAATTAAGATACTAACAATTGTATTTAAAATCAATACAATAAATATTAATTTAAATCGAACCCCAAAACCCAATCAGATCGGTCCGACCAGACCGGGCGGACGGGGTCCGACCAGACCGGGCGGACGGGGTCCGCGCCGGCCAGGCGGACGGCGGCGATACTGTTTAAAAAAAAAAAAATACCTCGTCGGGCGGCGACTGCTTCTCCTGGGCGGTGGCGGCGAGCAGAGGAGCGGGAAGGCGGCGGCGGTCGGCGAGCAGAGAGCAACAGAGGGGGAAGGCGGCGGCGGCTCGTCGGCGAGCAGAGGAAGGGGAAGGCGGCAGCGGCTCGGCGGCGGTGGGGTGGGGGGTCGTCGGCGAAACCAGAGGGGGTGGGGTGGGGGGGTCGTCGGCGACAGAGGGGTGGGGTGGGGGGGGGGGGGGTCGTTTGGCGACAGAGAGGTGGGGGGTGGGGGTGGGGGTGGGTGGGGGGGGAGGAGATGGATAGATAGGGTTAGGGGGAAGGGGCACATTCGTCTTTTCTGTCCTAACTATGGGCGGCAAATAGTAAAACGACGGGCGGCAAATAGCGATTCATTGGGTTTAATGGTATTCTTTCTTTTTATTCTTGGTTTGGTGATATTCTATATGAATACATTGTGTGTAAAGTTGGGCAATGTTGTACAAATCATAGACAATCTCAATCAAATCGCCCAAACACACACATGGTTGTCTTTATTCGGCGGCTCCTATCCCCACCGAAATTAAAATGGCATATATATATCGGATAAGTGCTAGCTTTTCAAGAGCTTTCAATGGAAATGAATGATTGGGGGAAGAAAGAATGCATGTACATCGGCAAAACTATGAATTTGCCTCTACATGAATATTAGTAGATTTAAATAGATGTGATACATATATATATATAATATCATATTTTGAAATTCTGTTAACTCAATAATATAGTTATCAGGATATATACGGCTTCATGATAGGTAGCAAAGTTTTTACTTTTTAGTAGATAGATCTTATTTGAATATACACGACTCTTCGATATTAAGAATCGGTTTAAATACAAACTATGACGAGCATGCATATGTGCAAACTTCCACTATGTTGATGGGCAACATACACGATGATTTTGTTGATCAATCAACCATGTATGTTATCTTAGCTTATATATGTCTAAACCAATGCCTTAATTGTTTACAGCAGTACCTATGAGACATGAAATTATGGTAGGGCTTTAGCCAAGGTGGAGCCATGTCAGCATTCCTATATAAGCTGCCGATTTGGATTCTTTCCAACATGGCTACGATCAGTCGTCGTCCGTCACAAGCAGTAGCCCAACATGGGACCCATGAAAGAATCCCTTGGCGGCGACCGACCGCCCAACCCAAATGCCCACGTGGAATCTGACTCACTGGCACGCACCCAGGGTGGCTGGCTGGCTGCTTCTTTCTCGATCATCCATTCATTGATCCGAGCTGTCATTTGCGACTTGTGATGAAATTTTTGAAAACTCATTCATCATCATTACAGGATTAATGAAGATTCCTTTCGACCCTCTTAATTATTTTAACATAGTGTCCTTGTTTTCTCCCCCTTTGATTGATCACCCAAGACAAGGTTCTTGATGTCGTCTGATCACATCGGCTTCAACTTTGTTAAGGATTTTTTTTCCAAGTTGGTAGTACAACCCAAAGGAAAGCTCGTGGGAGAAGTGACATGATATATGATGAAATTATATGTGTAGTACATTCTAAAATTTAATCTCCTTCTCTTTGAAAACTAATAGGTTATGACGTTATGTTTCATCTCATCACTTATTAAATCTAACTAGACGTTAGGGATTTGAGAAGATTTTGAGAGTGAGAGAGGCCATCAGTCTAGAAGGAGAGGGAGAGAGAATTGAGGAATTTTTGGGAATTTGAATGTTATTCTTTCTTAGATGAACAGCAAAACTGAATATAAATTCAAGATTGATATTTTGGGTTAGATTTGAGAATTCGACTCACTCATTATTTTGGTATGGCTCGCTCAGACTCTCATCGGTATATTTTGAATCTTCTATCCTTTACTTGCTTGTTTTTAAGAGACATAATATTAATATTAAAGAGTGTTTAAAATTTGAACTTACCACTTTAATATTTCGTCGCTTCTTTTGATACGACCTAAAGGAAAAATAACCTGTTAGAAGCCGGCTAAAGTTTTCATTATATCTCTTCTTTTCCTTTCATTTAGTAACCGAACTGTCAAAATGGAAAAAAGAAACAAAGCACCATAGAATCAAAGTGATCCGTGGACTGTGGTTGGGAAAACAAGGTGTAATTAATTAGTGCAATGTGAGTACTTTAAATTTGGGCCAAGAAACCCTAGTGGATCTATCAACATAGTAAACCTCAGCCCAACGTCCAAGGCCCAATCTCTGAACTCCGTGACGACGTCGTTGCAATCACTTAGCCACAATTGGCATAAAAGCCATAAACCACGTGCCCGGCGATTGTTAGTGCTGCCGAGTACAAAATCTCGTCACTCCTCCCCAGATGAACCGATAATAATTGCGAAACCAGAAGGGCAGAACCGGAAATTCAAGCAAACCCGAAAAAGAGGAACAACTCCAGCGCGGGAAATAGAGCCGTTGCTCAGTTTCGCGCCAAAATTTTCAGGTTTTTCGGCTGCCCGTAACATATCCGGGCAGTCCCAACCGGCCGCCCGCCCGCCCTACCTTTTCTTTTTCCCCCTTAAACCAATATAATATTAATATATATAAATTCACAGCCTTCATTATTTTCTCCGTTCTTCTTTCCCATTCTCTGTTTTCTCCCGTCAAAATTTTCCCTTTCGAAAGCCCACATTTTCTCCACAAATTTTCCCTCCCTTTCCCTCTCTCTCTCTCAAGGAAAGAAAATTCGGCATCCAAAGTTCCCTTTACTCTTATTCTTCCTCTCTTCTTCTTCCCGTTTCCGCACTTGGTTCCGATTCCTGATTCCTGAATCACAACAATCAATTTCCCCTGTTTCCTTTCCCCTGTTTCTTCTGCCTTTTGAACACCGCCCTTAGTTTTGATATTACCGGGGAAAGATGGGGTTTCCGAAGAAGAAAGTGGTGGATTCCGGGCTGGAATATGACGGGAAGAAATGGCTCATCGCTGGAATCTCGATAAAGCCACTGAAGCCGGTCAACACGAAACCCAGAGGCAGAGCAACCGCCGCCGACGGAGGAGGAGATAATAATACGGCCGCCTGCACTCGTGGAGTCGAGGAAGCGGAGGAGCGGTCAACTACCCCGACGGCAAGGGAGGCGAGAATACCGGAGAAACTGCCGTGCCCGCCGGCCCCGAGGAAGAGAAGGTCGCTGCCGTCGAAGTGCAATTACGCCGGCGGGGCCAGAGACTTCTTCACCCCGCCTGACTTGGACTCAGTCTTCAAATGCTATGTCGAGAGAGCAAATTAGAAAAAATTACTCCACAACAACAAGAAGAAAATCGCTTGGGCCGTTTTACTTTGTTTGGTTTGTTTTTGCTTGTTAGTAGCCTAGTAGGTAGGGAGGAAAAGTTAGAAGATGGTGAAGAGTACAAGATGTACAAAGAACTATATATGTAGTAGTAGTTATGAAAGAGGTAGTTTAGTTTTTCTTAGCTCTTTCTTCTTTGCCTTCTTGCTTCTAGTATTTGTTGGGCTTTGTTTGAGAGACCTTGATGTTTGTGGTTGTTCAAGTTAAATGAGAAGGATTGGTTTCTCTTCTTCACATGAAAGTTCTCTCCTTTTGTGGGTTTGTAGGAAAGATTGTCCCTTTCTTAATGGTTGAGATTGCTGAATCTTGTGGTTTGATTATTTTACTTTTGTCTAACGCCTACCCTTATCAATTTTTCAAGTGATAGTTCTCTTCTTTGAGGATTTGTTGGAAAGGTTGCTACTTTCTCTATTTTAGTCTGTTTTGAAGCCTACCTTCACCATCAACCTACCAGAAATTTTCTTGCTTGGTGTTTGTCAAAGTGAGTATGGAATATGGAGCACTATGAAGTATGAAAATGCAATATGACTCTAACTTGGAAGAGTTAAGGTGAAAGAGAGAGTGTGTGTGTGGGGTTCATGTATTGAAGTGGGTGAAGTTATTATTCTTGTACTATTTTAATAGACATAGCTAGCTCATGCCATTGAAGTCTGAGAAAGAGTTTTCTTCAATTTCTATGTTTGCAAATTTCTATGTGTTGCTATTGTTAGGGTATTTATCTTGTGACCCTATAGCTGAGGTAACAGTGTCACTGTACATCACTGGTATCTAGAGGCTATAGTAGTATATATGGAGTGGTAGGGTTTTGTGGGTAAGAGAAAAAGAGGGAGCAGAGTTTTTTGTAGTTATGTGGAATTTTGGGGTTGAGTCTGGTCAGGAGTCAGGGGGGAGGACACAGGACAAGAGTGCTGGGCTTGAAGGCAGCCAGCCTTCTTGTGTTAAATTTATTTCATATTTCTATTATGGTGTAGTACTGTTTCCTTACATGCATACAAATCTATCCATTCATCACAAAACCCTCCAAGGGTACGAATTTACTGGTTAAATCGCGTATTATTGACTTAAGTAACGATTTTATTTGTTGAACCGCTAATGTCATCGATTTGATCTCCGGTAGGGTAGAGCAGGAACCTAGAGATAGAAGAGTGAGGTATGTGAGTGAGGGGGGCAGAGAATCCATTTGGATGCTTGTTCATTTTGGTTCTCTGCCTCTGGGTTCTGCTGCTACTGCCCTAAACCCTAATCATTCAGCCTTTGCTTATCCAATCCTCTTTCCCTCTCTCTCTCTCTCTCTCTCTTACCATATTATTGGGTTTCCTTCTGCAGTTGCAGTGGTATTTTTGAAGCCTTCAGTAAATCTATCTTACCTTTCTTTCTTCTCCTCCTTCTTCACTCTCAAGTGGGAGACACATACCTCATTTCTCATGCTTATTTTTAAGCTCTTTTTACAAATTTCCTCACTAATCAACATTATTCTCATTAAATAACCAAACCCCATTTGTTAAACATATATGTATACGTATGTGTCTATGTCATCATGGGTAAGCGTGTCCCTCTTTTCTTGTTGGTAAGGTAGGTGAGAGGATTGGTTTAAGAATTCCATTTACCACCATTTCTCTCTGGTCAAGATTGGATTAAAGAATGTTTTGAACTTGATTAGGTGAGAGATCGAGGACTTAAACTTGAAGGACCAAAGCTAGGATAGTGTACATATACACACACACACACGTGTAGAAGTGGTATTGTGAGATGAAAAGGAATTCCTTTAAGGTTCTTTAGCATATGCCTTTGTATCAGTGGTATGGTATTGAAAGAAAAAGGAAGGCATATATCCAAACCAAAAGTCTGCCCTAGCTACCAAAAAACCATACAGAATGGTAAAAAAATTCAAGTGGAGCTTGGAAGGTGCATGGATGCTTCAAGGTGTTTGTTGACTAAAGCGACCCTTCCTTGGCCTAGCTAGACCCACAAACAAGAAAACATAATGGAACCAATGAGTAAAACAAAATAACATGAATATCGATACAAAGAAAAAGGAATATCCCAAGTACACTATGTCTACTACCCCATATCATACGTCTCTTGGATCTCTTATGATGAGTTTTCACCATTATTATTGCCTTCAGATTGAGCCCTCTCCCTATCTATAGTTATTGCCCTAGAGAGTGACATTTTTAACCTCATGTGGACATCTTTGCGGTGAATTACATGAATGAGAGCACTATAATTTTTGGTTGGTCGAAAAATGGATGATTGAAGTTTGAGTTCTGACGAACTTGTCATGAAAAAGTTTGATACAACTAGCACACAACGCAGTAGTTTCATCTAAACTCAAAAGATTTGTTTGTTCGAATTGTTCATATAAACATGTTGGTTCATTCGAATGATTGATAATGAAAGGAAAAGATTGTATCAAACTCTATAACTAATTAGTTATCTTTGTAAGACACATAACTCTAGAAATGGATTAGAGTGTTCTGGTTTAAATCAAGCATGAGTTGAAATAAATCATACAAATTACATAAGTAAAAATCTTCTCATAATTTACTATATAAATTATCCCTAATTTCGGTAAAACTTGAGTGATTTACTTATTAATTAACCTGTATTTCTTGCATCTTGAATATCATAAAATGTGAAAGCAAGCCAACATAGTAATTAATAACAAAATTCCACATAGGTTACTTACAATCCTATGTGGGGTTCTATGACAAGATTGTTTATGGTGTTAGGGTTTCTCTTCCACAACCACAAAGCACTTGTGTGACAATGACTTGACATAACATAACTGGCCCTTTCAAGTTCTTGGTTCTTTGTGTGCTTGTTGATAGTAATATATTCCACTTCTTTTGGTGAGACTTCTTTATCTATCTAAACGCATGGTGTTTGTCTTTCACCTAACATAACCTCATGTCCATGCAAGCTCATGTTTTTGTTTGAAAGCCCAACACTTATATGAAGACGAATTTGAGCTTGCATGAGCTAAGATTTGTAACTAGAATTTTTGTTTAGTTACTATCATACAATATACGGTTCTTACTATCTATAAAATTCTCCATATATGTTATGTTGTTGCCAGTTGCCACATATTAGCATAACCAAAATTTTATCTTTAATTGTACTATATGGAGATGCCTTCACTGCATGACACCATATCTACTCCATTCTTGCCACGACTTGATTGGATTACATCGGGTGACCGCAACACAAGCTACTTCCATGCGCGAACGATCCAACGCCGACCACACTGCACATCAACTTGTGTCACACTATGATGTACCATACGAAGAAAAGATTGAAAAGTACTTCACTTGTGAGGCACAAACCATCATTCACACAATTTGAACCTAAAATCTCTCACGAGTCACGACCAGAAGACTTTATAAAAACTATTTGACAGTCCACTATAGAGGTAGGCCATTAATTAGAACTAATTAGTGAATATATATGATAAGAATTACATGGAATAATACTACTAGGTAACTAATCCACGTTTATTTTGAATTTTTTTGTTTGAGTGAGAGAGGTGCTATCATCATAATAAAGAAGATAGGCAAAGGTTTCTAGGGATTAGGATGACTTTAATAAAAGCACAAAATAATAGTAAAGTTGTACCATAAAATTGAATTTGGAGGTCTTTAACTTTGTCTGATTGTGGTCACCCCTTCTTGTATTGTTGCTTCCATCAATTAATTAATTAGTGATGAAAGGCTGGCTCTGATCCTTCACTTTCACTATACAATCGTGTAGTTTAATAGTTTAGAGTTGTTATTTTTTGTCTTTCTCTTAATCTATTTACTTAGTTTACAGAGCACTTGCTCAAATTCTCAAGGGTTGCTTTGGCTTTTGTTGCTGCCAAGGAGACAAGGATTCGTGTCACTTAAGAAAAATGGAATTTAATTTGCGATAAGGACTCTTTTGGAGTGTTTCCTATATGGATAAGTAACAAATGAATATGGACTATGGATTGGGTGTTAGAATGATATCCATATGAGTCAAAATCTATCTCTGAAATGTGATAGGTAACAAAAACATATTATTAAAATGTCAAAATCGTGACTATACCTATCAAACAAATCAATTTCATGTACCACTAGTATTTATTTGAACCCACTCATTGTGATCATATATGTTGATTCTAATTCTGAAAGCAAGTCATTATATCCCTACCAAATGACTAATTCACATATTGTTTAAAAAAGTTCTCCATTCCGACATTTTTCTAAATTTACTACAAATTTTCTTACAATTCAAAATAGGCTCTGATAAGCGGGGAGCATATCAATTAAGACACGTGTATTCATTGATGTTGGATCTCACAAATATATTAAGCTTGGAGGGAGTTAAAAAGTTTTCAAATAAATTTAAGGTGTAGTACCACTTAATTATTAAATTTTTAATTCATGAATTTCAGTATATTGTTATATGTTCCCAAAAATTAAAGTGAGATAATATTCCTGTTGTGGGATTGTGATTTTGCTTGAAGACATAAATGAGAACTACATACTTTAATTGATTGGTTAGCCAGAATTTTTTAATTGGTTGATTCACCTTCATGCAATTGATCTTAGAGCCTCATCCAATTTTCTATTGGAGGGAGGGGGGCCTCAATTGTAATCGAGAGAGGAACCCTAATTAATAATTGGTTTGTTAGTATTTGTCAAACTCTTCCAATTATTGCCATCAAATTGTTTACCCGGAGCTCTCATAGCTACTCGAACCAGCTAATTATGTTAAAGCTAGCTAAAGCTAGCAAATCACTCCATTCTATAGTCTAGGAGGATAGAGCCCTCTCAATGTGTCACGATGGTAAAATAATAGATTATAATCTCTTTCATATAAGATATCATTTTCTTTATTGGAAGTTATTTTAACAATGTTGTTTCTCATCCCTTCTCGATCACTTTGAATGGATACAAATAAAAGTGTTTCATCGTTTC